GGCCCTTTAAGGGTTCTAGAAGACGGGGGGGGGGCGGGGTTTTAGGGTCGTGACCGCCGTGATTCGCTGTCACATGATCGGGAAAGGTCCCGATCGAAAGAGATCGGGACCTTTCCGTGAGTACCGAACGTGTGTGCTGGGAGAGTGCAGGGCACTTGTTCCTGTTACATCAGTGGTTTTCAACCTGGGGGTCGAATGACCCTTTCACAGGGGTCGCCTAAGACCATCAGAAAACACATATTTCCGATGTGTAAAGAGCAGCTACTGTGTAGAAAGCAGCTACTGTGTAGAAAGCAGCAGTATTGGAGGCAAAATGACACTTCATGAATTATAATTACTGGGTAAATAATTTTATGGTTGGGGGGGGGTCACCACAACATGAGGAACTGTATTAAAGGGTCACGGCATTAGGAAGGTTGAGAACCACTGTGTTACATTATCTTAATTGAGAGAGAGTGGTTACCCATAACCGGAAATGCCTGAATAGGGATCTTCATGGCAGGATCACCAGATACTATTTTAATGAAAACTGCAGGTTTAAAAAGATTAAAAATAATTTTTGGTATTATAACATGTTAAAGGTTGTATGAGATATTAGTGACTGGATGTAGATCTGACACCAATTCAATACCCAAATGGCGCCAGCAATTTAAAAAAAAAAAAAAAAGTTAAAAAATACTTTGATGATTTCTGCAACCCTGCTTTGGGAAACTGTGAAATATTGGAATGTCAAACCACAAGATCTATTGCGAAACTCAACACAAAGGCCCAAAAAAAGCTGCACTGTACACAACAGGGATCTGTGATTTGCTGCAACAGGAAGTGGAACTGTCCTGCGAGACACCAGAACGCACATGCATTACTGGGAAATTACTTGGGCAATCTGTGGTAATCCGCAGCAGTGAACCTAAAGGTCTCGGCGTGTTCCGCAAACTCCTAACTGGCTTTGGCCTGCTGGGACTTGTAGTTGTGCTGCCGCTGAAACCGCCTGGTGTTGATTACCTCTTGACTGCGGAGCCTAACCGAAAACAGATGGCTGATTTTCATGTTTGAGTCCTGTTTTAAAGATAATAAACAAAACGATTGTATAAAACCCTTTGTCTGCAGGGAGCAGTGACTGCCTGGCAAAGTGCGAGACAACCCGTTGAAATGAAAATAAAAACAGATAAAGCTGGTAACATCTGCACGGACCAGGGGGTCGAAATTGCTGAAATATTTCAGGAGGAGCTCTGCGGATATTATTGGGCTCTGCAGACAAAAGCTGCAAATTTGTAGCAAAACGAGTCTGTAAAATATTCTCTGTAAAATGTTACAAAGTATACAAGTGTATATTATATGAGAACAATGTATTTCCTGCACCTCTTCCTTCTCTCACACCTGTCATGTCTCTCCTGATGTCAAATTGAAGTGAGATTTGTGTTCTGGAATGTACATCCTATTTTCTCAGCTGTCATCCCTTTATTGGCTCATCCCCCCCCCCCCCTCCTTAGAGTAAACCAGATGTACTGACAAGACACTTCATTATCACCTCTGAACCCGGCACCTTGCTACATCTATGGTTACATTGTGACATCCCCACACTACATCCAATCACCCGTCTCCTTGGCGATTTACCAAAGAATATTGCTGATAGTCTTGATCATGTATCAATGTTTCTGTGCACCATATTGGTAAATATTAGAAGTCTCCTGCCCCCCCCGTCCCCCACCACCCCCCCCCCCCCAAGCAGAAGAAATTATTATTATACAGGATTTATATAGCGCCAACAGTTTGCTCAGCACTTTACAATACAACGGGAGACAATACAGCAACAATACAGTTCAATACAAGAGGGATAGGAGGGCCCTGATCCTGGGAGCTTACAATCTAAGAGGGAGGGGCTGGTGGTACAAAAGGTAATAACTGTGGGGGATGGACTGGTAGGAGGAAGTAGAAGATTCCATTATTAGCTGAGGGCAGGATAGGCTTCCCTGAAGAGATAGGTTTTTAGAGATCGCCTAAAAGTGAGTAGAGTAGGCGATAGTCTGATAGATTGGGGTAGGGAATTCCAGAGGATGGGGGAGGCTCTGGAAAAGTTCTGGAGACGAGCATGGGAGGAGGAGACAAGGGAGCTAGAGAACAGGAGGTGGTGGGAGGAGCGGAGAGGACGGTTTGGGTGATATTTGGAGACAAGATTGGTGATGTAATTTGGGGCAGAGTTATAAATGGCTTTATATGTTATTGTTAAAGTTTTGAAATTTGTTGGGCAATGGGAAGCCAGTGGAGGGATTGGCAGAGAGGGGGGAAGGCCAGCGGAGGGATTGGCAGAAAGGGGGGAAGGCCAGTGGAGGGATTGGCAGAAAGGGGAAGTCGAAAAAGAATTCTCCTGCGCTCCAGGACTGGCAGACAGGTGGCACAAGATGGAACCAGGCCTAGGGAAAGCGACCACCACTGCATAAAGGGCCGTGCAGCTCCAAACCAAGGCTGGGGAAGCCCAATCTGCACTGCAAAATGAAATAAAAAACAGGGAAGCGCACCAGCCTTGCGCATTACCTCAATAACCTTTATTACTTGTAAAAAACATACTCAAAACAGCGAATTTAAAATCATTGCATGTAAGTCCTCTCAGGGACTTGAAGATAACTGAGGCCCGGTGAGGTTTATGGGTGTTCAGTGACAGCTGACGCGTTTCGAAGGGGGTCCCTTCTTCCTCAGGCTGATGGGATAAGAAGGGACCCCCTTCGGGTCTGTCAGCTGTACAGAACACCCATTCCTCTGATGGACCCATGTTGTTTCAAGTCCCTGAGAGGACTAATAATAGCCTGATTTTATTCGCTGTTTGTGAGTATGTCTTTTACCCAGTAATACATCTTTATTGGTAATGCGTGGTGGGTGCGCTGCTTGTTTTTTATGCCTGCATTTCCATCAGGGGGGAAGGCACACACATTACAGCAGGGGGTGAACCAGGGCCCTGAGGGTTTTGGCAGAGGGGAGGGAATCAGTGGATGGCAGAGAGGGGGGAAGCCCAGCGGAGGGATTGGCAGAGATACCCCATTTGCAGGCATTACTACACCATCCACGGGTGTGTAGGGTAGGGGGGTGCCAGCATGAACTACTGACAGTCCGCAATAGGATAATCTATGATGTGATTCTATATTGGTCCCTGTATCATCACATAGTCTGGCCCCTGTTTAATGCCTTGTGACACCCTCGATGACCACCCTCAGGGGGAGGGGGATAAGACTGGGCTGGGGTCTGTGCACTCCAGAAACAGGTGTGGTCACCTGTCATTCAGGGTCTGATCACAGTAATTGTAGTAGTGTATACCCACTAAGTCCCTAAGAGTGTGGGTCAGTGCCTGTGTCCTGCCCACGAGGACACAATCAATGTTGGTGTACACCACCCTATGAGGATCATTCGATGAGATGGGTGGAGGGTCAATCATGGAATTATTGCCCAAATGTGGCCAGTGAATGGTGTCCCCATGCAGGACCTCTCAGCATACCTTGGTGACCCAACACAGAAGCTTTGACAATGTGCAATGATATGTGTGTGTGAACCTATGAGGGGCAATTTCGATCTGGGTCTGTCCATGTGGGTCCGATATACCCTAAGAGCTGGGCTCTGTCGTGTCACCCCTAGGAGGGGCTCTGATTAGTCAGTAGTTGTGTCACCACTAGGAGGGGCTCGTAAGAGTGTGTCAGTGTTGGTGTCACCCTATGAGAAGCTTTCATTGTGGTCAGTGTTGTGTCACCTCCATGAGGGATCATTCGATCAGATCATGTTGTCACCTATGAGGAGTTTTCAATGTCAGTGATGGTGTCACCCTATGATGACCTCTCAGTGTTTGGTGTCACCATGAAAGCTTTCAATGTGGTCAGTGTGTGTGAACCTATGAGGGGCTTTCGATTTAGTCTATGATTGGGTCACCCTGATCATGTCACCCTAGGAGGGGCTCTAGATTTAGTCAGTGGGACCCTAGGAGGGGCTCTCTCTTTCATTGTGGTCAGTGTTAGTGTCACCTCCATGAGGGCTCCCACCTGTTGTCAACCTAGGAGGAGCTTTACAAGTCAGTGTTGGTGTCACCCTATGAGGGTTTGGGGTGTCACCCTTTCAATGAGTCAGTGTTTTGATGTGAGGGCTTTCAGTTTGGTGTCATGTCACCCTAGGAGGGACTCTCGGTGTTGATGCCACCTTAGGAGGACTTTCAGTGCCAGTGTCACCCTATGAGTGTTGGGGTCATCCTATGAGAGGTTTTGATGTGGTCAGTGTTGGTGTCACCCTATGATGCACCTCATGCCAGTGTCACCCTATGAGTGTTGGGGTCATCCTATGAGAAGTTTTGATGTGGTCAGTGTTGGTGTCACCCTTGAGTGTTGGGGTCATCCTATGAGACGTTTTGATGTGGTCAGTGTTGGTGTTACCCAATGAGGGGTTAGCAGTGTTGCTGTCACCTTAGCAGAAGGGCTATCGCTGTCACCTTAGGAGAAGCTTTCAATGTGGTCAGTGTTGGTGTCACCCCCATGAGGTGCTCTCACTAATGGTGTCAACCTATGAGGAGCTTTTGATTAGGAAGGGTTCTCAGTGTAGGTGTCACCATGAGAAGCTTTTGATGTGGTCCATGTTTATGTCACCCAATGAGGGGCTCCTAGTGTCGGTGTCACCCTAGGAGAGGGGCAGTCGGTGTCACCCCAGGAGAGGGGCTGTCGGTGTCACCCCAGGAGAGGGGCTGTCGGTGTCACCCCAGGAGAGGGGCTGTCGGTGTCACCCCCAGGAGAGGGGCTGTCAGTGTCACCCCAGGAGAGGGGCTGTCGGTGTCACCCCAGGAGAGGGGCTGTCGGTGTCACCCTAGGAGAGGGGCAGTCGGTGTCACCCTAGGAGAAGCTTTCAATGTGGTCAGTGTAGGTGTCACCCAATGAAGGGGCTCCCTGTGTTGGTGTCACCCTATGACGGGTTCTTGGTGTCAGTGTCACCCAATGAGGGGCTCCTGGTGTCAGTGTCACCCAATGAGGGCATCTCACCCGTCTCGGGGTACCGGCTCCGTTCAGCAATGGGGTCCTCTCGGCGGCTCCCCCCTCCTCCTCAGGCCGGCCGGACCAGGACTCTCTGGTGGCCACGTTGGCCATGTCTGATGTCTCTCCCGCTGTGTCTCCGCCGGTCAGTGTTTGGTCACGTGACACCCTCAGCTCTCAGAGAGTCCCCCCCGAATCACGTGGCCAGCCCAGCTACGGACCGCCCCTGGGAACAGGTCGGGACGTAGCTCCCGCGCTGCATGCCGGGAGATGTAGTTCTAGCCTAGACTGAGTGTGGCCACGTGATCGCCGCTTCTCCGAATACTGTGGAGAGCACGTGTGCGGCTGTTTCGGTGTGACCTATATACTTGTATATAACATGCAGTATTTATCTCCCACAAAGGATCACAGTGCTAAACCTTTCACTGTGGAGGTTTCTGCATTGGGATATGTACAAAACTAGTGTAAGGCCCCTTCCACCCCCTCGGTCCATATTTTTCATCAGTTAAATTTTTTTCCAAGAAAAAACGGATCAGCTTACATCTGTGTCGGTTTTCGTCCTTTCTGTGTCAAATTACATCCGTTCTGTCGGTTTTCTTCCATTCTGTGTCGGTTTACATCCGTTCTGGGTCGGTTTACATCCGTTCTGTGTCGGTTTACATCCGTTCTGTCGGTTTTCGTTCTTTCTGTGTCGGTTTACATCCGTTCTGCTTCGGTTTACATCCGTTCTGCGTCGGTTTTCGTCCTTTCTGCGTCGGTTTACATCCGTTCTGTGTCGGTTTACTTCCGTTCTGCGTCGGTTTACTTCTGTTCTGCGTCGGTTTACTTCCTTTTCTGCGTCGGTTTACGTCCTTTCTGCGTCGGTTTTCGTCCTTTCTGCGTCGGTTTTCATCCGTTCTGCGTTGGTTTTCATCCGTTCTGTGTTGGTTTTTTTATCCTGTGTCGTTTTTACATCCATTCTGTGTCGGTTTTCATCCGTTCTGTGTCGGTTTTCATCCGTTCTGTGTCGGTTTTCATCCGTTCTGTGTCAGTTTTCATCTGTGTCAGTTTTCATCCGTTCTGTGTCAGTTTACATCTGTTTTCATCCATCTACATCCGTTTTTCACCCACTCCTTTTTTTTTTTTTTACAGAAGAAAAATAGGGTTTTCTTCCGTTCAAAAAAAAAACAGATGTTAACGGATGCGGACATTACCCCTTCGCCCTCCTGAGGATTTACCCCCTTTCCTGACCAGGCCATATTTTGTGTTACGGCGCTGCGTTACTTTAACTGACAATTGCGCGGTCATGCAACGCTGCACCCAAATGAAATATATGAATTTTTTCCCCACGAATAGAGCTTTTTTTTCGGTGATATTTGATCACCTCTACAATTTTTTTGCACTAAAAAAAAAAAATTTTTAGAAAAAAAACAATATTTTGGACTTTTTGCTATTAAACATGTCCAGTAAAAAAATCAAATTTCGGCACAAATTTAGGCCAAAATGTATTCTGCTCCGTGTCTTTGCTAAAAAAATCCCAATACGTGTAAATTAATTGGTTTATGTGAAAGTTATAGCATTTACAAATGGCGGGTATATATACTGGGATTTTTTTAATTTTTACTAGTAATGGCAGCGATCAGCGACTTATAGCAAGACTTCGGCGGGCATTCTGACACTGGGGGGGAACTGACTTGGTGTCACTGACATCCCCAGTGACACCAATACAGTGATCAGTGCTAATAAAAAGCATTGACACTGTACTAATGACACTGGGCAGGAAGGGGTTAACAGGAGGAGTGATCAAAGGGTTAACTGTGTGCTTTTACTAGGGGCTGTGTCCCTGCTTCACTGTAATGCAGGCCATACATGGTTCAAATTCCAAACGATTTTTCATCCGAAAAAAAAAAATGGCGCCATCGATCATTTCGAAAATCGGCCGACCAAGTCGTAAAGTTCTCCCCATATAAAAGGCAAAACTTCTGCTCCTTCCAGGTCACGGCTCATGCGCATATTCTTTTCAGAAAAATGATCATACGATTTATTTATTTCAGGTACTTATATAGTGCTGTCAATTTGCGCAGCGCTTTACATATATATTGTACATTCACATCAGTCCCTAACCCTCAAGGGGCGTACAATCTAAGGTCCCTAACCCTCAAGGGGCGTACAATCTAAGGTCCCTAACCCTCAAGGGGCGTACAGTCTAAGGTCCCCAACCCTCAAGGGGCGTACAATCTAAGGTCCCTAACCCTCAAGGGGCGTACAATCTAAGGTCCCTAACCCTCAAGGGTGTACAATCTAAGGTCCCTAACCCTCAAGGGGCGTACAGTCTAAGGTCCCCAACCCTCAAGGGGCGTACAATCTAAGGTCCCCAACCCTCAAGGGGTACAATCTAAGGTCCCTAACCCTCAATCTAAGGTCCCCAACCCTCAAGGGGCGTACAATCTAAGGTCCCTAACCCTCAAGGAGTGTACAATCTAAGGTCCCTAACCCTCAAGGGGTGTACAATCTAAGGTCCCTAACCCTCAAGGGGCGTACAATCTAAGGTCCCTAACTTACATTCTAATACATACATACACATACTAGGGACAATTTTAGACAGGAGCCAATTCACCTACTAGCATGTCTTTGGACTGTGGGAGGAAACCGGAGTATCCAGAGGAAACCCACACAGGCACAGGGAGACGGTGCAAACTCCAGGCAGGTGGTGCTGTGGTCGGGATTCGAGCGACCCTAATACTGCCAAACAATGTGTACCCACATAGGAAAACATTAGGGAGTATTCAGGGGCTGCTGAAAAAAAAAAAATGCTGGCTCCTGAACATCAGTTTAGCAGCTGCAGTGTACAAGGCCCTGCAGGTCATACATGGTTTGAATTCCGAATTATTTTTCGTCCAAAAATCGGAACAGTCGTTCACTCAGTAATCTCCAAGCAGGTGGTGCCGTGGCTGGGATTTGAACCAACAACCCTTAGTACTGCCAGACAGAAGTGTGCCACTGTGCTGCCCCAATGATTTGACCATCATTGAGTCGAAAATTGGTCGTTTTTCACAAATTTTCCACCATGCCCGATCACCAAAAAGGGGAGGAGCCACGAAAATCAGCCGGTGCCATTGACCCACTAACAGAGCGAAAGTCGGGCGATTATTCTTAGGTCCGATTTTCAGACGACAAATCGGTCGAATTTCGACCCATGTATGGCCGGCCTGAGGCTCCATGCACACGGGGCATTTTAATTACGCTGGTAACGTTAGCTGTGTAAAGTCACGTTAAAACGTAAGTTTTTCAGCGTTTTTGCATTAGTGTTTTGCTGTGTTTTTCACATTTGCATTTTTTAGCGTTTTGTTTTACCTCAAAAAAAAATTTGGGGGTCAAAAAAAGTCCAAAAACGCCGGTTTGCCACGATTTACTGCACTTTGCAGTGTTTTACCCCGTTTTGCCGCATTTTTCAGCGTAAGACCTCATGCACACGGGGTGTTTTGATAACGCTGGTAACATTTGCTGTGTGAAGTCACATTAAAAAGTGAGTTTTTCAGCTTTTTTAGCATTTTTGCATTAGCATTTAGCAGCGTTTTGCCACATTTTTCCGCATTTGCGTTTTTTGTTACCAAAACAAATATATATTTTTTGGTCAAAAAAACATCAGTTTGCAGCATTTTACTGCATTTTGCAGCGTTACAGCGTTTTTACAGCTAAAAACTCCTCTAGAAATCCACTAGTCCTGGATTCTTTTTCCAGCCAAAAAACGTCCCTGCTAAAAAAACATTGATTCCAGTCTACACTCTGTTCCAAATTATTATGCAAATTCTATTTAAGTGTCACAAAGATGAAATATTTTGTTTTTCAGTTTAAGGGCTCGTTCACACTAGGCTGTTTTGCCAACGCTTGCCAAACGCCCCTATAGCTTTTGGCAAGCGTTGGTCCGGCGTTTGCGGAGCGTTATTAACGCTCCGCAAACGCCGCATGCGCGGTTTAGCGGCGGTTGCTAGGCGTTTGCCGAGCGTTAATAACGCCCCACAAACGCCTATAATGCAGTTTGAGTGGTGTTACCGCTCCGCAAACGCCCCGCAACCGCGTCGCAACCGCACCGCAAACGCGCCCGGCCGGGCGTTTGCGGAGCGGCACCATAGACGAGAATAGGAGGCTTCAAAGCCTCATGACTCGTCCAGAGGCGTCCGTTTTGCCGCGACGCAACGCGACGCGACGCAAACGCTCCCGTTAGAACAGCACCGTGTGCTGTAATGTGCAGAATTGGCAGAGGCGTTTGGGAAGCGGTAAAAACGCTTCCCAAACGCCTCTCTGCCGCCTGCACACAAGGCTAGTGTGAACGTAGCCTTACTCATGGATGGCATTGTGTGTCAGGGCTCTTTTGATCACTGAAAACAATCTCGGACACCTGTGATAATTAGATTGGCCGGTGAGCCCAATTTAAGGAAAAACTACTAAAGGAGGGTGTTCCACATTATTAAGCAGAGCACCATTTTCAAGCAATATGGGAAAGAAAAAGGATCTCTCTGCTGCCGAAAAGAGTGAAATAGTTCAATGCCTTGGACGAGGTATGAAAACATTAGAGATTTCACGAAAACTTAAGCGTGATCATCGCACTATGAAGAGATTTGTGGCTGATTCAGAGCACAGACGGGTTGGTGCAGATAAAGGCACATTGAGGAAGATTTCTGCCAGATCCATGCATCGGATCAAGAGAGCAGCTGCTAAAATACCATTACATAGCAGCAAACAGATATTTGAAGCTGCTGGTGCCTCTGGAGTCCCACGGACATCAAGGTGTAGAGTCCTCCAGAGTCTTGCCACTGTGCATAAACCTTCTATTCGGCCACCACTAACCAATGCTCACAAGCAGAAACGGCTGCATTGGGCAGAAAAATACATGAAGACTAATATTCAAACAGTCCTGTTCACTGATGAGGGCCGTGCAACCCTGGATGGTCCAGATGGATGGAGTAGTGGATGGTTGGTGGACGGCCACCCTGTTCCAACAAGGCTGCGACGTCAGCAAGGTGGTGGTGGAGTCATGTTTTGTGCCGGAATCATGGAAACAGAGCTGGTCGGCCCCTTTAGGGTCCCCGAAGGTGTAAAGATGACCTCTGCAAAGTATGTGGAGTTTATGACTGACCGCTTTCTTCCCTGGTACAGAAGGAAGAACTATGCTTTCCGTAATAAAATCATCTCCATGCATGACAATGCACCATCTTATGCTGCAAAGAATACCTCGGCATCAATGGCTGGTATGGAGATAAAAGGAGAGAAAGTCATGGTGTGGCCTCCATCCTCCCCTGACCTCAATCCTATTGAGAACCTTTGGAGCATCCTCAAGCAAAAGATCTATGAGGGTGGGAGGCAGTTTACATCCAAACAGCAGCTCTGGGAGGCTATTCTGACATCTTGCAAACAAATTCAAGCAGAAACTGTCCAAAAACTCACAAGTTCAATGGATGCAAGACTTGTGATCTGCTATCATATAAGGGGTCCTATGTTACAATTTCAGTAAATATGCTGCAAACACAACAAATTACAATTTTCAGTTCTTTACAACCTAGAAAGTGTTTTGAAACTTACTGTGCGGAATAATTTGGAACAAAAATCCTGTTATCATTAGGAGGTTTGTGCAATAAAATGTGAATTGTACTCTTAATAGTTGATAACATGAGAATTATGCTGACTGTTATTTACATCAATTATTTAGGTAAAGGAGAAAAATATTATTTGCATAATAATTTGGAACAGGGTGTATGTGTGTATGGACCCACATGCTGGTGGGTTTACTGGCTGTAGAAAAAAACATCAAAAGCCAAAAACTGCCCCTGTAAAAATGTCAAGTGTGCATGAGGACTAGGTACACTGCTTTGCATGGCTCTGCTGTGCATAGCCATCCAAAGCAGCGTGCAGGAGCTGATAGGGAGGAGAACTTTTCTTTACAAACAGTTCTCATCCCCATCAAAGATGCTCGGCAATCACCTGCCAGGACCCGGTGACTGACAGCCACGAATGGTGGCGCAGGTAGGGCACACGCGTACCTCGCATGCGCCCCCTACCCGGAATTGCGAAATCACGTGTATACAATATACATGATTCTGTGTACCAAGAGCGGACTGACAACTCATGGGGCCCCTGGGCAATAGGGGATCATTGGGTCCCTGTGTCCTTGCCCAAACTAAAAAAAAAACCTATGAAAAAGGTACCAGGGGCATCTCATGGGGCCCCCTACTGACCTCGGGCAGTGCCCGAATTTCCAAATGGTTCCCACTTTAACCAGATTCTAAAGCAAGTCCAATAAAAGTATGACTAAACCCACAACAGTACAATCAATCTGTATATGCAGTAAAGCATGCTTGTTATACTCACTGTGGAACCTAAGGGGTTAATCCTCTGCATTGTGTAAAAATGCTGTTCCCTTGTGATCTCTGATCCTCCCCTTCTTCCAGTGTCCCCCTCTTATCTCCTTCTTCTACTGTCCCCAATCCATCTGCCATAGTACAGAGCAGCAGGGGCATGTCTGCACATGCTCAGTTTGTTGTGTATTACTAGAGAGGTTTTTTTTTAGGGGAAGGTGCATGTGATCAGCACAGGGCCAATCAGCACTGTCCAGATAGAGGGTCAGGGGTTATGCAGCCTCATAGGACAGGCAGAGCAGAATGAAAACTCCACTTACAAGATTAACCAGTGCTCAGATGGACACTGATAGAAGTCACAAGACTGCTATATACTGCTGGTGAGAAAAGGTATTCAGCAGTTTATATTTACTAAAATAATTGCATTTCCATGTTCTGTGGGGGACTGTATATAGTGAATGCAGGGCCTGGGGAGACCAGATATAGTGAATGCAGGGTCCGGGGAGACCAGATAGTGAATGCAGGGTCCGGGGAGACCGGATATAGTGAATGCGGGGTCCAGGGAGACCAGATATAGTGAATGCAGGGTCCGGGGAGACCAGATATAGTGAATGCAGGGTCTGGGGAGACCGGATATAGTGAACGCAGGGTCTGGGGAGACCGGATATAGTGAATGCAGGATCAGGGGAGACCAGATATAGTGAATGCAGGGTCCGGGGAGACCGGATACAGTGAATGCAGGGTCCGGGGAGACCAGATATAGTGAATGCAGGGTCCGGGGAGACCGGATATAGTGAATGCAGGGTCCGGGGAAACCGGACATAGTGAATGCAGGGTCCGGGGAGACCGGACATAGTGAATGCAGGGTCCAGGGAGCCTGTAGATGATCCTTGCTTAACCAGCACCCAGAGGAGGGATTCCCTGTAACCAGGCTGAGCACCCATCCATCCTAAAGGGGACCTCTGGATGAGCAGATTTCACTTTATCCCAAGATTTACTGCTGTGCTGTCCCACACCTTGAAGGATGTTCACCAGACGCCTGACATACCCCACCTCCCTAAGTGGTCCATGGTGGATATATTTATATGCGCATATCCAATACGCTTCTGGTGAGTGTGCAATTTTACCGTTACTTCCAAGCACAAGCATTTGAATTCTGCTACAGTGGGGATCATTCATCAACATTGATTATTTATGAACTTTTACTGTCAATTTATTTGGCATTTTATCAGCGCTGCAGTTTTATTTATACAGTTTTTTTTGAGGTTTATATGGTTACCATTAGTGCTACAGCTGCTACACCAAGAGCGCTCACTTTGTCTTATCACTTACTAATAGAATAAAATATACACAGGCAATCACAGAGGAGACATCTGCAAGGAAGGAATGTACTGGTGCTGCCCACAGCAATAAATGATCTTTTCTCCAAACTATTATTTATTTATTTTTTTTGTTTTTGGGTAAAAGGGAAAGATAATGAGGAATTCCAGGTATGAATGTTTTATACATAGTTATGTTGTTCCACTGGACCAATGTTTCTGTGTATATGTCATATCTGGGTGATGCCCCTGGAAGCTGGAAATCAGTAAAGTAGACACCACTACTCCAGTCACCTCTACTTGCTTCTGGGTCTTCCATGCTGAGCAGTCGGCTTGATGCATTCTAACCACAAGAGGTCGATCGTTGGTACAGGAGCCAGTCAGAGAATGCTTTGCTGTTTCTGAATGAAGGCAAAGTATTCTCTGATTGGACGAAGTGGAGAGACTGGCGGTGACATCACATTCCAGTGGTCACATGGACAAGAATGTACAGTAAGCAATATAGCCAACACATGCACTGGCTAAGTACCCCACCATTGCCCCCAGTAGAGTTGCCACCTTATCCCTTTAAAACCGAACACATATTAATTACACGGGTTCTGTGTTTGATTAAGGTGGCAATTAAAACTCACCTAGTGCTTTATCTGCATTGAATTGGCCTCAGAACCTGTGTAATTAATATGTGTTCAGTTTTAAAGGGATGAGGTGGTAACCCAAGCCCCCATTTGGTATGCATGCTATCGGCTCTGCCAAGTGGCGATGAACCTAAAACTTTGCAGGCACCATTAGATAAAGGGTCAATAGGCCACAGCTAAAGGAACCACCTTTGGAAGAACCTTTGGGTTCCACGGAACATTGGTTGAGAATGGCTTCTATAAGTCATCCATCAGCAATAGATACCAAGATTTGATATGAAATTGTTACCCATTGGTACTGCATGCCATCACAGTTTACCCAGTTGGATACAATTTACCCATCAATAACCAAAACCTATTGGAGATGCAGTGCGACACTAGGGGACATGCTACATATATTTTGGCCTGGCCCAACTCTTTGAAACCTTCTGGACACAAGTCCATAATATCATCTAAATATGACTGACTGGCCTGTCCCTGAATCACCCTCTTTCTTCCTCCAGCACCATACCAAGGTCCCCATGGAAGCAGGCTTAAATCTGTGGTGTGCCACCCCCATAAAATGGAAGTCAAACTTCTCTACACCACCGTCCAGCAATGGTTTCATAGGATCAAAGATATTAGACACATGGAAGACTTGATTAATTCTCTGAAAGGCATTGTAGAGCAATGTTGTGCTACATGGCATTACTAGAATGAGAGACTCATTGCTCCCCCTTGTTGGAATGGTAATAGGTCACATTTTCATTTTGAATGGACCCCCAGGACACTAGGGCCACACCATTGGAGAGTAACAGCCAACGCATGTAAAACGGTATTGTTCCAGGACAAACTGTATAAAGCCCAGCCTGGGACCTGCTCTCTGATGCATTTCTCTTTCACCCGCCACTGTGATGAAGCCCAGTGATGGGTGAAACACACTGGAGGAGGTCCATTGCAGGCAGGGGTGGACTGACCATTCGAGCACTTGGGCACTGCCCGAGGGGCCCAGGGTCAGTAGGGGGCCCCATGAAATGCCCCTGGTACCTTTTTTATAGGCTTTTTTGGGTGCTCTTTGAGTGTGGGCAAGGACACAGGGGCCCCATGGTCCCCTATTGCCCGAGGGCCCCATAAGTTGTCAGTCCACCTCTGATTGCAGGGCTTTATGCAGCTTATCCTATCACCCTGGAATAGTAAGACTTTACAAGTGCTGGACTGCATGGTGTCCTGTTAGCTGTTTTTCTTTCAACGTGTTGGCAGTTCAGGATAAGAATGAGTCCCTGCTTGGTGTTTCCACCTGGACAGCAACGCGAGTGATCTACCATAGAGAACTTGGAAGCAATGGGGAACTAAATCAATGCCTCTGCACTGCGGCACGCAGTATTAGTGTGTTGTGGCCCCATAAAAATAGTCAGTTGCAGTTTTGGATGCGCTGCTGGGTCCATTGGCAGTCTATTAGAAGGACATAAAGCACATTGACACATCGGACAAGTGTGAACTCGGCTTTAGACTTTCACTGAAGACAGCTGGTGTGCAGATTTGGACAACCCCTTGAATTTATTGGGAGACAACACTAATATGAAGGCAGTAGCAAGAGGAGAGGAATGCCAGAGGACCTCCCAGTACTGGAACCTTATATCTTCTCTCACAAGTTGAAGATCGTTCTGTTCTTGGTCTGATCCCTCCATCCAAAAACTAACTTTTCCCTAAAGCTCAACTTCAGCCGAAACGTTTCATATTAGATAGAAAGGCGGAAGGTCAGAACCTGTTTTTCATACTCCGTGTCTCCATCTAGGAAACTTTCTCTGACTTCCTGTCCCAGCGACATGTAGTCAGCAAGAAGGGTTTGATATAAAGTCTCTCCAATGGGGACAGAGGTAGCATGAATAGAAAATAGATTTTTTAACTGTTTAAGGATTTTGACAGTTAAAAAAGTTATATCCAGTTATGGATATTTTATACATAGTTATATTGGTCAAGTATGGTCCAATGGAACTATGAATATACCATATCTGGCCGATGCCCCTGGAAGATGGAGATCACTGAAGTAGACAGCGCTACTCCAGCGATCTCTACTTGCTTCCAGGTTCTTTGCCGGATGGCTGCCCTGCTGTGCTCTGAACACAGGAGGACACCTTTAAGAGAATGCTCTGCATTTTCTGAATGAATACAAAGTGTTCTCTGATTTGACAATGTGGAGAGGCGGGGCAGTGACATCACTCTGTCCAGCACATCCAATGTAAAAAGTACACTTGCAGACAGACTGCAAGTGTCATTGAGTAATTACAATGTAACAATGTATTGTTTTATTGTATTTACTATTGCATTCACATATAGATCACATATGTGACCTTTGATCTGCATATCACATCACTTGCTTACTATTTAACCCCTTATTAACCCTTAGTTAAAGTATACCTAAAGACAAAACTTTATCTTTTAGTTTTGAACATGGTGGAACGGGTGGAACATGTAACATGTTCCAAAGGTGAACTTATCCTTTAAGGTAATTGCATTCTTTCTTTAAAAAAAAGAAAAAGAAACCAACACTGATCAACACAAAAAAATACATTTTTTTTTTTTTCTTTTTATTTTTTTTTTAAACATATTTTTGTCTATAAATTCCATAAAAAAAAAAAATTATTGCAAAGTGGTTTTGCTAAAGGAAAGTCTAGTTTTAAAAAATCTATGTAATATTTGTTATTTTATGTAAAAAACTAAAGTGTTACCAAATAAACAGGCTAATAGCGGAAATGTAAATTTGCTCTGGTCCTAATAGCTCTGATACAATGGGGATAGGTAGTAACATGACTTAACTTGTTATTGCTGCGTGTCCCAGTGACTCCCATTCCTCTTGTTACTTTTCCTGTTTGAAACACAGTGAAAGGAAATCTTCCCAATTGCTTTACATACAACAAATAAAGGGTTGACAGTACTTCCCCAATGTTCCAAAACTAAAAAAAAAAAATATGGCTGGAGCTGGGCTTTAACCCTTTGAGGACCATAAGATTACGGAACACCAAAAGAATCAATTTTTTGTTTTTAAAGTTCATACACTTCAGTTGCTGTAACTAAGCCATTTCATGAAATAATTGGCAAAAAGCTAGATCCATTTGTTGATAAGAACTAATATTTTGACTCAAACCAAAAAAAAATAAGTATTTTAAGTTCCTAATCAGATGATACAGGCAATTAAAAACATGGGACAAATACGTCCCTTGGTCCTCAAAGGGTTAAAAAAGGCCAGCCACAAAGTGAAGCTACGTATAGAAAAGGGACATCTTATAGCTATTTTGGATAAAGTAGATAACATTCCTTAACAACTCTCAGTCCGATTTAGGAAGGGGGGGGGGGGTGGGTGTTTAAAAGTGACAGGTCCTCTTTAGACTAACTTCACGTAAATACTGGTTACAAAAAGTCTGCCTCCAATTAATGGCCACCTCCACCCTCTTCCTTTGACTTTGGTGACACCTGGCCTGCATTCCGTGTCGCCTCCAGTGCGGTGACCCGTTGGTACAGTTCTTCCAGGAGCTCATTGTGGCCATTCAGTAACTCGGTGAGAGCTGCCACCTTGTGAGCGAGTTGGGCATTGCTGACTTTGACCTTCTTGCGCCCCGTCATGTTATCCCTACAAGTCTTGGAGCTGCAGGGCCTGTGTGCTGGCGGCTCGGAGATGGTCTGGTTTACTTCTGTTTGGTTTCCAGATTCAATGGTGTCACTGGGGGCTTGGTTTGCAGATTCCGGTTTTAACATTTCTTCCATGTTTTCCAGTTTTCTTTGTATCAATAGCATTTGATTCTCTATGAGGTCCAGTCTGGCAGGCACTCGGCTAAAAAGTTCAGTAACATTTTCTTTCAGTTCTGAAACAAACAGACTTGGTTATGAAAAATAAAGTATAACTAAAGCTTTTTCTTAGTTTTGGATAGTGTGGAGAGGGATTAGAACACCTGTCAGGTTTTTTTTGCTACCTCTATTCCTAACGGGGGGGGGGGGGGGGTTAGGACGTTTGTGTAACCTGGGGGGCCTCAATGGATTCCCTTAATTTGAAAGGATTTCTTCTTACTTCTTGTTTTTGGCTATGGGATAGGAAGTGAAGGGAAATTTCCCCAATGGGACACAGATGGGCAAAAAAAAAACCTGACAGGGGTTATAACCCTCCCTTACTCTATCCAAAATGAAAAAAATAAATCTTTTGCCTATAATCCATAAATTTGGGTTGTCCCCAAAATATTAATAAAGGGGAAATCTTCCAATGGGGACACTAGTTTGTGTAACCTTGGGGGGGGCTCGATGGATTCCCTTAATTTGAAAGGATTTCTTCTCACTTCTTGTTTTTGGCTATGGGATAGGAAGTGAATGGAAATCTCCCCAATGGACACAGATGGCCAAAAAAAAAACCCAGACACAGATGGCCAAAAAAAAACCCCAGCAGGGGTTATAACCCTCCTTTATCCAAAATGAAAAAAAAAAAAGAAATCTTTTGCCTATAATCATACATTTTGGGTTGTCTCCAAAATAGTAATAGAGGGGAAATCTTCCAATGGGGACACTAGTTTGTGTAACCTGGGGGGCCTCACTGGATTCCCTTAATTAGAAAAGATTTCTTCTCACTTCTTGTTTTTGGCTATGGGATAGGAAGTGAATGGAAATCTCCCCAATGGGACACAGATGGCCAAAAAAAAACCTGACAGGGGTTATAACCCTCCCTTCCTCTATCCAAAATGAAAAAAAATAAATCGTTTGCCTATAATCCATAAATTTGGGTTGTTCCCAAAATAGTAATAGAGGGGAAATCTTCCAATGAGGAGACTAGTTTGTGTGGCCTGGGGGGCCTCAATGGATTCCCTTAATTAGAAGGGATTTCTTCTCACTTCTTGTTTTTGGCTATGGGATAGGAAGTGAATGGAAATCTCCCCAATGGGAAACAGATGGCCAAAAAAAACCCCCAGCAGGGGTTATAACCCTCCTTTATCATACATTTTGGGTTGTCTCCAAAATAGTAATAGAGGGGAAATCTTCCAATGAGGAGACTAGGTTGTGTGGCCTGGGGGGCCTCAATGGATTCCCTTAATTAGAAGGGATTTCTTCGTACTTCTTGTTTTTGGCTATGGGATAGGAAATGATGGTAAATCTCCCCAATGGGACACAGATGGCAAAAAAAAAAAAAAAAAAAAACCTGACAGGGGTTAAAACCCTCCCTTACTCTATCCAAAATGAAAAAAAATAAATCTTTTGCCTATAATTCTACTTCAATAGAATTTATCAAACGGGACCAATGGGTAGCCTTTAACTGGAGTTCACGGACTCACTTTGATATCCAATGAGGACTGTTAGCACATGCACATTACTTTGATCATCTCTCAGCTCTATGTACAAGGAAAGGCTCAAGAGAAATGTACTATAAAATCTTCCTATGTGACAATATGTGCCGTGTGATGGAAAGGGATGTTTGCAACAGGAGCATTTCAGGTGGTGTTTGTGGTCACCATAGGATCACCACTTCTATCCAACTGCTCTCTTAAAACTTCCCGACTGAAATCGACTTAAAGTGGAAGTTCAATCAAAATCTAACTAAGGCTAAACCTAATTCCATCTCCATTCTATGACTGTTCTATCTACCCTGTGAAAAAATATGCTTTTACTTAGCTATTCTGAGGGTGCTCAGTCCAGTCACATGATAGGATCCCAGAACTGGCTTCAGTGTAGATAAGGGGGTACCACCAGTCCTCCTGTGCGGGGCCCAGACCAGCAGGGGGGCCCAGGCAGCTGGGAGAATCGGATGTTGGCAGGGAGGGTAATCAGCATAACAGAGGAATGGGGGGGGGGGGTACTGGAACCAATCCCCTGTATGGTTCTCTCTGCAGCAGCTGATAGCCGCTTCTCCTATCCCTGTTGCTGGATTTCAGCTGCTGCAGAGAGCCATACAGGAGATCGGTTCCAGTAACTGCCCCCCCGCCTTACCCATCACTTTCCCTGTGCACCATACTTTTCGCCCTGTTGCCCAGACCCCTGATGGGTCCTTCAGGAAGGAGAGTGTGAGAAGATTCAGGTAAATATGTCACATTTATCAGCCCCTTCCTTTCCTGAATGAACACGAGTAATCAGTACCGATCGCTCAGGGGCGGACTGACCATTTGGGAACCGAGGGCCCGGGGTCAGTAGAGGGTCCCATGAGATGCCCCTGGTACCTTTCATAGGCTTTTTTGGGGTGTGGTTTGAGTGTGGGTGAGGACACGGAGGCCCCATGATCCCCTATTGCCCGGGGGCCCCATAAGTTGTCAGTCCGCCCCTGCGATCGCTCACTGTGTTCATTCATAAAACCAGCATAGTAAACTTTTTTTTTTGGGGGGGGAGCTGTCAGGTTGGCTGTACGGTGCCCCATGGTTTCTAACAGCAGCCCTGGGGACAGCCAACAACTCCTGCAGTGCCTGGGCGATAACATCGCCCATACGCTTACTATGGGGCATCCATTGTCAGCTGTGTCACCTCTACACTGAAGCTGGTGCTGGATTCTAATCGTGTGACCGGTCCTCAGAAGCTTCAGAATAGGTAAGTGTAGGCATCTTTCCTTTCATGGGGTAGATAGAATGGGGGTGGGATCAGGGGCGGACTGACAACTCATGGGGCCCCCGGGCAATAGGAGATCATGGGGCCCCTGTGTCCTTGCCCAAACTAAAAAAAGCCTATGAAAAAGGTACCAGGGGCATCTCATGGGGCCCCCTACTGACCCTGGGCCCTCGGGCAGTGCCTGAATTTCCAAATGGTCAGTCCGCCCCTGGGTGGGAGTAGATTTAGCCTTAGATTTTGACTGAACTTGTACTTTAAAGCTAAAATGTTTTTTTCTTTGAGATTAAAGCAGAACTCTGTGATTTAGTTTATTTTGTGTCTTATTTAAAAAAAAATTGTATAGGAAATATAACAATTTTTTCAAGACAATGGGCTCAGTTCATGAAGCTTTACACAGTCCTAAAGCTGCTTTCCCACTGATACGTTTTTCTTCCACTTTGCGTTAAATTAAGCAGAAGAAAAATGTGAGTGCATGTATTCCTATGAAGCTCCTGGCACTGATCTCTTGTGGGTTAGGTGCATTTTTTATTTGTTTTTGCCACGTTTTCCATTGGTTTCAATGGGGAGGTGCGTTTTTGGTGCATTTTTTAATATCCTGCTTGCTGCATTTTTAGTGCACACCTCCCCATTGAAACCAATGGAAAAAGTGGCAAAAACAAATAAAAAATGCACCCGCGTTGGATTTATGGTGCAGTTTTTGAGTCACATGTCCTATAAAAAACGTACCGCAAACACGATAAAAATGCGGTAAAAACAGAATAAGTGTGAAAGTAGTCTAAGCCACTTTATTTTCAGCCACATGACTGCTATTTTCAAATCTCATTGAACCCAGCTGAAGATAACTGTCATCACATCCTTATCCTGGTATGTTAGCTTTGTTAAAGGGGAACTCCCCCCAAAAGGGAAAGTCCTGCTTGTTTGCTTCCTCCCCCTCCACTGCCACATAAGGCACTTTTTTTTTGGGGGGGGGACCTGGTTTTGACAGGTACCCGCTCCCACTTTTGGTCAGATGCACTGCAGTGATCTGAGCCAGACGCTTGCCCCCCCTCCATTCCCTGCAGCCTTCTGGGGCACTTCATAGGTTCCAAAAGACTGTGGGACCATTCACAAAGCGCAGCGCAGTATGAAACCGGCCGTGAAGCCGCAAGACTTCACTTTCAGGTTCTCTTATTGAAGGTGCCAGCTCCTGCACCCGAAACCGATTGAAGAATCAGCTCGGGGTGAGGACATTGCTGGATCCCTGGACAGGTAGGCGTCCTTTTATCAAAAGTCAGCAGCTACAGGATTTGTAGCTGCTGACTTTCAATTTTATGGGGGGATCCTTGAGCTCCGTTTTAACTAAGCCCAATATAACCAGAGAAAGCATTGTTTGTTCCAAAAAAAATAGATCAGAGCAGCTGGCTTGGCTGCTATGGAACCCAGGAGCCAGTGGGGGAGGGGGGGGACTAAAAAAAACTGCTGAGTGTGCAGGGATCCAGCACTTTTTCATAAACCTTTATCTTGAACTGTACAATAGAGAAGTCCTCTTGTTGGTGGGACTTTTTTTTTTCTTTTTGTAATTAACTTTTTTATTGAATTTTTCACACATGTACAAGCATGAGTAAACATAAGTGGGACTTTAGAGGCATCGGTTTATCAATTCATGAACTAATAGGTCAACAATTAAAAGATAACAATCAATTTTTATTTTATACAATCTTAAAAAAGACATAACAGGTTACAATACAAAAATGTGGCGGTAAATGTGGCAACACATGCATGACTGATCTTTATATTATCAGTATTAGGTCACCAGCTCTTGGTAATTCCGCCACATTTTTGTATTGTAACCTGTTATGTCTTTTTTAAGATTGTATAAAATATAAATTGATTATTATCTTTTAACTGTTGACCTATTCGTTCATTAATTGATAAACCTGTGCCTTTAACTTCATGTCCGGACACTTTTACCCCTTCCTGTCCAGACCAATTTTCAGAGCTGTCACACTTTGAATGACAATTGCACGGTGATGCAACACTGTACCCATATGAATTTCTTAGCATTTTTTGAGACAGATAAAACTTTATTTTGGTGGTATTTATTCACCACTGGGATTTTAATTTTTTTTGCTATATAAATGAAAATGTCCAAAAATTTTGAAAAAAAAGTGTTTTTCTTATACAATTTTACAAATAAATAATCTTTCTTCATAATATACAAAAAGGTGCAGCGCTGCACCTTTTTGTATATTATTGTCTATTAGAAGGTCTTATATGGTGCCTTTGGTGTACAGCTGCTGCTATCTAGAAGGTGCTTACTTATTTACACATTTTTAGTAATCTTTCTTCATAAATCTTGGCCAAAATGTATTCAGTTATCTTTTTAGTAAAAAAAAAAAAAAAAATAACCCAAATTATTTTATAACCAAAAATTATAATTTTTGTAAAACTTTTTTTTACATTTTAATAATTTGTTTATATTATTATTTTTTTTTTTTCTTTTAACATACTGTCACCCTAGCAGTACAGTATCACCATAGTGACACTACTACTTGTGGGGGGTGATGAAGATTTTTTTTTTTTACACTGATTGCTTTTACACCCATAAAGGCTGTAAAAGCAATAATTTCTCCTTCTTTTTGTCTACATTCTTGCAGCCATTGAGAAATACTGTGTGAGCTGTGATTGGTCACAGCTTGTCACATGGCACAAGGCTGTTGTGAATAGCCGTGTACCATGTGACCTCTGTGATCATTCACAGATTTCACACGTAGTAAACAATGATGTCAGAAGTGACATCTTGCTTACTCTTATTCATGTGATCAGTGATTGGCCAATCAGCTATCACATGATCGGGACCTCACACAGAGGTCCCGTACAGCGACCGGATCGCGGTGCCGCACGCTCCCAGGGAGCACGCACAGTCCAAAATGGTGGGCGCCGTTTATGAACGGCAACCCGCCCCTGCACTGCCCCGTCCGGCCGTTTGTATAAATGGCCCGGAAGGGAAGTGGTTAAAGTCCCACCAACAAGAGGACTTCTCTATTGTATGTTTTCAGGGATGGTGGCACCTCTTGTATTATATCCCTCCTTTCTCCTTTTTTTTTCCCCCTTTTTCGTGGTAAGAACATTAGTTAATTTTTCTAATTATGAGTGGCATCAAAATCGACATTCATTTTTGTCCAATGAGAAAATTCAAAGGATTTAAACAATGGAACATTTTTCTTGAATGTACGAATTTCTAACAGTGTGTGTGGTATTCGTCTTGTAAAGGCCAAAATCATTCCCAAATCAAAATGTTAAAACAAAAAAAAATTTTGAATAAAAATTCCAGTATACATACCACCATTTTTAGATGATATAACTTTCACATAAACCAAATTTTAATTTAGCAAAGACATGTCACAGAATACATTTTGGCCTAAATTTATGACAAAACTTGATTTTTTTAAATTTTTAAAAAAAATTAAATTGTTTAATAGCAAAATGTCAAAAATATGCCAGTATATACCCAGCTTTAGTCACCAATTTCTCTTGTTTTCCTTCATTTGTGAGTAGATGTATTGCCTTCAGAGCTCTTGGTCACCATGGTCATTACTATGACAATAGACCGTCTGCTTAAAGCTGACCGTACATGGCTCAAATTTTAGCCAGTTACTGCTGAATCGGCTGATATTTGAACTGTGGGTGGCCTTGTTGGCATAATAAATAATGGAAAATTGTCAGCCAAACAGTGACTGCAGTCCACCATATGCAGTAACTGTTCAGGTATTCAAGCAGCCAGGGCTGCTGCAGCTGCTTAAAGCAGAGCTCCACCCAAAAGGGGAAGTTCGCTTTAAGGACTGCTCCCCCACTCCCCATGAAGGATTGGCACCTTTGGGGGGCGGGGGTTGGGAGCGGGTACCCAAATTTGACATGTACCCGCTCCCACCTCCGGTCCGATCGCCTAGGTGATCGGAAGCGAAAGGTGTCCTCCTTCCCTGTAGTCTTTTGGGACACATGACAGGTCCCAGAAGACTACAGGACCATTCATGAAGTGCAGCTCCACTCGCGCATGCGCAGTGGGTAAATGGCTGTGAAGCCGCAAGCTATCACAGCCGGGTGCCCACAATGAAGATGCCGGCCTCCTGGAATACAGGACGGCCAGTGAAACGGGCTGCGGGGGACACACCGCGGGACTGAGGGACAGGTAAGTGGCTATTTTTTAAAAGTCAGCAGCTACAGCTTTGTAGCTGCTGACTTTTATTTTTTGACAGGGTGAGTGGAACTCCGCGTTAAATACAATAGCCAGCATTGGAGATTCCTCCATCCATGCATGAATAGAGTAGGGGGGCTCGGAGCAGCTGTCACTGTAGATTCCCCTGCAGCACAGCCGGTGAGAGGGAGAGAAGGAGAAGCTTGCTACACTGCAGGGGAATCGGAGACATATTGGTGCAGGGGAATTAATGGAGCCCAGTGCTGGAACTCATTCTGACACTGGACTCATTCTGACACTGGATTTAGCCTGGATCTGTGGGACATCGGGATTGCAATGAAATCTCGGAATGGTCCCACCCATTCCAGGACAGTTGGGAGGTACAGGGGCGGACTGACCATTTGGAAACTCAGGCACTGCCCGAGGGCCCGGGGTCAGTAGGGGGCCCCATGAGATGCCCCTGGTACCTTTTTTCATAGCCTTTTTTGAGTTTGGGCAAGGACACAGGGGCCCCATGATCCCCTATTGCCCAGGGGCCACATGAGCTGTCAGTCCGCCCCTGGGAAGGTATGTTTATGCTCCTGAATACGTGTACTACTTTGTTATCCTATGTAATAACAAGGTTATTGCAGAATCATTCGGCTTATAGCAGAAATGTAAAAATTGCTTCATAAAGGGAACACAGGTGTGAGAGAAATTGCATACCTTGGCAGGACCCAGCAGACATTCTTGTCATCCTCTTCACTTTCCTCCATGCCTCTTCCTGCTCCTTCTGCACATTTTGGAACTGAAGCCATAATTCAACCAGCCCAATGTACATCCTGGGGACCGCCTGAAACATGGTGTGATAATCAGCTCACTGTTTAGGATCTGAGGGCTAGATGATATGACATCGATATCCCAACGTCTACACTAAATGTCTAAACTAAAATGCCATTTTAGTTTAGACATTTAGTGTAGAAGTTGAGATATCAATGTCAGCTATGTTGACCATTATAGCCTATGGCTTTAAGTTTCAAGCACAGGTTCCCTTTAAGGGCCAGTCCATCCAGAACTGATCATTCAGATTTTTGTAGATGCTGGAAAATTAAAATTGCTGACAGTTTCTTCTATCTTTGGGTGACTTTATTGGTGAGATCTCTGCGCTGAGGTCCTGAGTCTGCACACCTGCTTGGCCCCATTATAGGGGTTCCCCACCATCTCAACTAGATCCTTTATCTTATTTAGGCTGGAACACACAATAGTAAGAAAGCACAAAGCTCTTTGGTGGACAGGAACAGAGTTCGGGAATTACAGCAAGGAAATGTTCAGATATCTAGTCATAAAAAGCCATAGAAGACTTGGTTGGTCAGGCTTCATCTATCACTACGATATTACTTTTGGGTGGACCAACTGTTTAGCTGTCAATGACAAAGACTCTCTGTACTGGACTTTTAGTACAAGTTTTATCTTCTCAAAGAAAAATCTTCCACTCTTCACAATCATGACTTATTCAGGTAGACATAGTTACATAGTTAGTTTGGCTGAAAAAAGACAAAAGTCCATCCAGTTCAACCATTAAAAAAAAAAAGTTATAATCCTATACCCACAGTTGATCCAGATGAAGGCAAAAAAAAAACAGCAAAGCGCGATCCAATTTACTCCAGCAGGGAAAAAAAAATCCTTCCTGATCCCCCGAGAGGCAATCGGATATTCCCTGGATCTACTTTACCAATAAATGTTATATCCAGTTATATTCTGTGTATCTAAGAAAGAATCCAGGACTTTCCTACAGCAATCCACTGAGCTGGCCAGAACAAAACATCAGTTTTCGGCAGCACCTATATTTGTGAGCAACTATGTTCAAGGATGAAGCACACGAAGGGCAAATTTAGAACTAAAATATGTGAGGAGCACCTTGAGATATCATTGAGAATTGCTACTCCATCCATCGAACCAGATATTGATGTGTTAGTTTATCAAAAACAGTGTCACACTTGTTTTATATTGCCCTCTTTTACTTTTATAATAAAAACATAAGTTTTATTAATATAAAATTATACATGATATACATTATCTGTATCAGGGATTGTTAACTTGTGATCTGCCTGACTTTTTCTGCTCATCATCTTTATTGTTAGTGTATTTTATGTGTAGTCCAAGACAATTCCTTTCCTTTCAATGTAGCCCAGGAAAGTAAAAAAAATGGACACCCCTGCTGTAGACTAAACCTGCAACACAAGAGCACCTAAACTCATTCTCAAGCTGAAGAAAATGTTGTGCTCACCTGTTTTATGAGTTCGGGCCTCCATCCTTGGAATGTTGGTTGGTCCACAATCTGAAGAGCCTGGTTAAGCTCTTTCCTGACATCTGCTTCTGAGAAGTTCTTATTTGGTAGCTGCCACCCAACATCTCCAGAAGATAGGCCACAGAGGAGACAGAAGAAAATGCTAACCAAATTCCTCCGGAGCTTCATTGCAGTCATTCAAGTCACCGCTACAGGCAAAACCTGGACCCGCAAAAGACCTCTTGTAACACAAAGACACATTAACAGTGAAGAAAGGATGGATGAGTAACATGATCTGAGCCTCACCACCTCAACAACTTGTTATTCTTTGGTTATTTAAAGTTCTTGGCTCAGCGGGAAATCTTCACCATATGACAAAGAGTAGAAGTTCACCCCCCAATGGGGAAGACTTTCTCCAAACATACACTTTCTCCAAACATACACCAACAACTCGGTGTTGTGTAACTAGTCTCTGAGCAGTTGGCTTTCTAAAGTATATGTAAACTCTAACTTGATGATATTTCATTTGTTAAAGTACTGACTAAGGTGAACAATTGCTAAACTTTCTTTAACTTTCTTAGTAAACATATTACATGCTGAGAGCCACAAAGAAAGACAATGCCAGAAATCCTGCTGCTTTCTTCCTCCTCCGCAATTCAGTCCTGGTCCACTTTCTTTAGCCCACAGAAGTCGAACATTGCCATAAAAGGATGTTATTATTTATTTCAGGTACTTATATAGTGCTGTCAATTTACACAGCGCTTTACACATATATTATATATTGACATCAGTACCTAACCCTCAAGGGGTGTTTAATCTAAGGTCCCTAACTTGCATTCATACATACACATACTACAGCCACTTTAGACAGGAGCCAATTAACCTACCAGCATGTCTTTGGAATGTGGGAGGAAAACCGATGCAGGCACATGGAGATCATGCAAATTCCAGGCAGGTGGTGCCGTGGTTGGGATTCGAACCAACGACCCTAGTACTGCCAGGCAGAAGTGCTAACCATTTAGCCACTGTGCTGCCCCACAGTGTGTGATTGTGTTTGCCTGTAGGCAGGTTGCCTACATTAAGTTTGATTTACTAATACTGGAGCACTCATAATCTGGTGCAGCTGTGCATGGCAGCCAATCAGATTCTAACCTCAGCTTGTTCAATTAAGCTTTAACAATAAAACCTGGAAGCTGATTGGCTTCTATGCAAAGCTGCACCAGATTTTACACTCTCCAGTTTTAGTAAAACTCCCATTATGTTAGCCAGGCAGTTGGCTGGCCCAGGCTGGGGAAGGGGTTAATGGTCTGTGCCTCTGTTTCGGGGCTTTTCGGACCCAGCCTGATGCTACCAGCCCTATATATATTTAGGTATGTATAGGTATGTGTATATATATATGTATGTATATATATATGTGTATATATATATACGTATATATCACATCTTGTGGTTAGCACTTCCGCCTGGCAGTACTCGGGTCATCGGTTCGAATCTCAACCATGGCGCCACCTGCCTGGAGTTTGCATGTTCTCCCTGTGCCTATGTGGGTTTCCTCTGGGTCCTCCAGTTTCCTCCCACACTCCAAAGACATGCTGGTAGGTTAATTGGATCCTGTCTAAATTGGCCCTAATATGTGTATGTTTGAATGTGAGTTAGGGACCTTAGACCTTTGTACACCCCTTGAGGGTTAGGGACCTTAGATTGTACGCCCCTTGAGGGTTAGGGACCTTAGATTGTACACCCCTTGAGGGTTAGGGACTGATGTGAATGTACAATTTATGTATGTAAAGCGCTGTGTAAATTGATGGCGCTATATAATTACCTGAAATAAATAAATATATGGGGAAGGCTGGGTTCTAGAGTTTTGGCCCACTCAGGAAGATGTAATACGTGCTGTGGAGCTCCCAAGAAGGACTGCTGCACCCTCCAGTCTGTCTGTTGAAAGACACCAGGAGCTCAGAGAGTCACCAAGCACCGGGGAAGCACCAACGGACTATCACCTTGTTAAGGTATGCCTGGGCAGCCCAATTTAGATAGTCAGGGAATGTTTCATTGACTGTTCCTGTTGGACTGTGTTATATGGATGTTCAGTAAAATTGCATCAACTGGTTTGAAGTTATTCTAAAGGGCATGATGGTTCCTGGCATATAAAAGAACTTGGACCGGTATAACACACACTGGGTATGAAGCTGGGTTCAATTTATGTGTTGTCTAGGGCAGCACAAAAATGAAATACACCACAGGATGGCTCCTGAATCCAGTGATTTTGTTGCAAATTCCAATTATGCAAGAAGTATATTTTCCAGCAACAAAGCTACACATGGAATACGGTGACATTGAAGTTTATTTTTCCTGGTAACAAAAATGCTAGCTAAAGCGACATGGCCCTAAGGCAAAACTTTGCACATTCTCAATGGTGGCTCTAGGATTACTACCATTGCTTAGCTAATTCCTCCCCCCAGCCTTGGTATGCTGCACATGGCTGTGATCTCTGATCTTGTTTGTGTGATACTAAGGCGAAACAGTCAACTGGGGTAGGAGGTGGGTGGAACAAGACATTTGGCCTAGGGGGCAGGAAGTATACATCCGACCCTGGAGCGTGAGATACCCCCCTCACTAGCAGAAGTATGCAGGACTCAGTGGGGGAATGTTGCTTTAATGTACTATAGGGGGCACAGGGAAATGTGATGCTGAGGGCTGGGTGTGGCTGAATTTGCTGATTTTTGCTTTTTTTAGATTTGCAAAGATTTTTGTAATTAAAGGAAGTAAAAGGTTGCAATCTACATTTGTATTTTAGTAATAAAGTATTAAAGTGCTTGCTAACTTTTTAATTTTACCTACAGGTAAGCTGATAATAAAGATCACCTGTAAGTACAATCAATATCTCCTATTCGTGAACCGTTTAGGTGACTTTAGGAGATATTCTCTCTTCATTTAATCCGGCGCATGCGTTCTGAGGGAATGGCATACCTGCGCCGTTCCTTCAGAGCTGTGTGCTGTGGCCTGGGACTCCTGCGTGCATGTGTCATCGTGTGGAGCAGGGGCGGACTGACAACTCATGGGGCCCCTGTGTCCTTACCCCACACTCAAAAAAAAGTCTATAAAAAGGTACCAGGAGCATTTCACTGCGATGACATCACTCCACGCCAGGGGCGGACTGACCCTGGGCCCTCGGGCACATCCCGAGTGCTCTAATGGTCAGTCCGCCCCTGGCGTGGAGTGATGTCATCATGGCTCAGCCTGTTGTTTGTGAACCTGGAAGCCTCTGCAGCAGTGACAATGCCACTGGAGGGCTTTGATTTATTTATTTCAGGTACTTCCATAGTGCTATCAATTTACGCAGCTCTTTACATACCTATATTGTACATTCACATCAGTCCCTAATCCTCAAGGGGTGTCAATCTAAGGTCCCTAACCCTCAAGGGGTGTACAATCTAAGGTCCCTAAACCCTCAAGGGGTGTACAATCTAAGGTCCCTAACTCACATTCATACATACACATACTAGGGACAATTTTAGACAGGATCCAATTAACCTACCAGCATGTCTTTGGGGTGTGGAAGGAAATTGGAGTACCCGAGGAAACCCACGCAGGCACAGGGAGAACATGCAAACTCCTGGCAGGTGGTGCCATGGTTGGGATTTGAACCAACGACCCTAGTACTGCCAGCGGAAGTGCTAACCACTTAGCCACTGTGCTGCCCACTTTTAAGGTAACCTATACATAATGTGCTAGTATGAGATGCATACTAGCACATTATGACATTACCTTGCAGGGGACTTTTTTTTTTTTTTGTCTGCAGTTTACTACCACTTTAATTAAACACTTCCCGTCGCTCCTGCCTCCTTGCCCTTAAACTGATCAAAATGCCAGGAGGCAGAGCAGGCATTCTGATTATGTTGCCCCACTGTGATTGGCTGAGGCAGGCATTCTAAATATGTGACCATCTGTGATTTGTGCTGTTACAGTGGTCACATGATCGGAAACCTCTGTAGTAATCAGAAGCTAAGCAGGCATCAGGAGCTTTCTGTTACATGTCCGCCTGTTGCTGTGCTAGTAGCACACACTGAGCCAGGGGCGGACTGGCAAAATCATGGGGCCCCGGGCAATAGGGGATCATGGGGCCCCTGTGTCCTTGCCCAAACTCAAAAAAGCCTATGAAAAAGGTAGCAGGGGCATCTCTTGGGGCCCCCCTACTGACTCCGGGCCCTCGGGCAGTGCCTGAGCTTCCAATGGGTCAGTCCGCCCCTTGCACTGAGCATGTTTCTCAGCACAGTAAATTGTTTACCAATAGAACATATATGGGCCGCTCGGTGTATATATTTGTGTGTATATACAATATACAGTCATGGCCGAAATTGTTTGGCACCCTTAGATATTTCTCCAGGAAATCCATGTATTTCTCACGAAACGTATTGCATTAACACATGTTTTGCTATACACATGTTTATTCCCTTTGTGTGTATTGGGACAAAACAAAAAAAGGGAGGAAAGAAAGCAAATTCGACATAATGTCACACAAACCTCCAAAAATGGGCTGGACAAAAAAGTATTGGCACCCTTTCACAACTGCGGATAAATAAGAATGTTACAAGCATGTGATGCTCCTGTAAACTCACCTGGGGCAAAGTAACAGGTGTGGGCAATATAGAAATCACACCTGAAAGCAGATAAAAAGAGAGAGACGTTCACTTAACCTTTGCATTGTGTGTCTGTCTGTGCCACACTAAGCATGGACAACAGAAAGAGGAGACGAGAACTGTCTGAGGACCTGAGAACCAAAATTGTGGCAAAATATCAACAATCTCAAGGTTACAAGTCCATCTCCAGAGACTAGATTTGCCTTTGTCCACAGTGCGCAACATTATCAAGAAGTTTGCAACCCATGGCACTGTAGCTGAAAATCTCCCTGGTCGTGGACGGATGAGGAAAATTGATGAAAGATTGCAACGCAGAATAGTCCCGGATGGTGGATAAGCAGCCCCAAACATGTTCCAAAGACATTCAAGCTGTCCTGCAGGCTCAGGGAGCATCAGTGTCAGCGCGAACTAACCGTCGACATTTAAATGAAATGAAACGCTATGGCAGGAGACCCAGGAGGACCCCACTGCTGACACAGAGACATAAAAAAGCAAGACTACAGTTTGCCAAAATGTACTTGAGTAAGCCAAAAGCCTTCTGGGAAAACGTCTTGTTTG